GACAGCACTGTCCTCATGTGCTGAGAAAAGCATGCATACAACCCCCCTGAAATGACTCGTTTAATAACTGTACCTCACCCAGCAGCATTTCCGTCTTTCAATTTCCGGCTTCTCTTCTCCCCTTCTCTCTCCCGCTAACATACTGTATATATATATATATATAATATATATATATATATATATATATATATATATATATATATATATATATATATATATATATACAAACATAACAAAACACACAGCTACTAGACGTACTTCAAGCATCATTAGTGAAGATGGCATTATGATTGAGAATACTTGAGGACAATGGTGAACCAATGACGAAAATAATATATATATATATATATATATATATATATATATATATATATATATATATCATGAGCCCAATAAAGCACGCGGACTTCTACATATAATCAACATCTCACCCCGCCAGGATTCGAACCCAAGGCCCACGACTGTGACCGGGGAACGCTTCCTCTAGACCATCAGGATACTAAAAGCGGTCCTAGACTGTGTTATATGTCACACAAAGCCTGTTCAACAAGCTTAAGGCGCCGTGTTTCGAAGCCGGATTTGGTAAAACGTTACTCTGACCACCTAAGTGATACAGGTAGTCCCCATTAGAGGTTCACGGCGCCTTAAGCTCGTTGAAAAGGCTTTGTGTGACATATAACAGAGTCTAGGACTGCTTTTAGTATCCTGGTGGTCCAACGGTTAGCTTCCCCGGTCACAGTCATGGGCTCCTGGGCCGTGGGTTCGAATCCTGGCGGGTTGAGGTGTTGATTGTATGTGGAAGTCCGCGTGTTTATTGGGCTAATTAAATATATATATATATATATATATATATATATATATATATATATATATATATATATATATATACATAGGGGTGAGTACAGACTAGTCTGTACTCACCCCTGAAGATGTGAATTACACGAAAGCGCTTGGGAACTTCGTGTTTTCTTCTTTCCTTGTGGTTATCAGCATATACCTAGATCACGCGTGTAGTGATGGGTTGTCAGACCACAGCTTACATCTCAGAAACTCTAGGCCTTCCCTAGGTCAAGTGTAAGGGTATCCCTCGCAGGTGCTCAAGGATGTTGTAAATCAACTAGCTCCCCCTCCCATGTCACACATGTAAGAGGGCACCAGCCGGCTCTCTCCCAATATACACAATGTCCTACACCGCAGAGGGGGGCCAGTCTTGACCCGACATTAGGGGGGTCAAGTGTAACTCTGCGGTTGACCAAGGATTGTAAATCAGCCTAGCTCCCCTCCCATGTGACATGTGGCCCCAACAAAACATGTAAGAAGGCACCAGCCGACCCTCTTCCAATATACAATAACCTACTCTCTGAACAAAGGCCGGACATGACCTCACAATTAGCCAGGTCAAATGTAACCCTTGGAGCCCAACTCAAGGGGCCACAAATCAACCAGGGCCTCTCGTGTCACACGGCCCCACCTGATGACTTCTCCTTACATCTCAGAAACTCCAGTCTGACCCGACGTTTGGGAAGTCAAGTGTAGGGGAACTCTCACGGTTGCTCTCCCAATATACACACGGCCCCACCTGATGACTTTCCCAGATAGTTCTGAAAAGTCCAGGCCTGACCGCACATTTGCGGGGTCAAATGTAAGGAGACCCTTCGCCGCCCCCCAGGCCAGCTGAACCTGACGGCTCGCTTCCCAATATATAGGACGTCCTGGTCCTCCCTCGGGATTCGCAGAGAGAGAGTTGTCTTGTAACAAGGTGGCCAGCTACTACACCACCAGGCCTGCTCGAGAGAAGTCAAGGGCCGGAGGCAAGTCGCCTCCGGTCAGGACCGAGACTTCCCTCCGGCGCCCAGCTAAGCAGTCTCCCATAGAGACAACCCAGGACTACCTGCTAGGCCTCCCCTAGGTCACGTGAGTGTTTGTCAGAGCTTTCCATGGGATGAGTTACTTACGTGGGAAGTGTATTCATTTCATGTTCGTGTCCGAGAATCAGAGTGTCTAGTAACGTAATATGATGTCCTAGTAACGTAAATATAATGTCCTAGTAACTTCAATAGAAGGTGTTATTAATGTGTCCATGTCATGTTCGTAATTAATAAAGAGTTGTAACGAAGCAGTGTTTGAGAAGTCGCCTTTAAGAACGTAATAGATGTGTATTGACGTGTAAGACACGACCAGTGTACGATAAGAGTAAATAACTATCACGGCCACGCTACCAAAATCTTCCTCTCTTTATACTCTTATACTATCAATATTCTATTTATATGTAATCTTCTTCTTGTGAATATTTTGTAGCATTACATATATATATATATATATATATATATATATATATATATATATATATATATATATATATATATATATATATATATATATATATATATATATATATATATATATATATATATATATGTGTAATATTCAGAAATTTCAGTGTGAGTTAGATACGCGCGCCATATTGGCGATACTGAGTTTTCAAGGTCAACTGAGGGATTGGCGCTCCCACACGTAGTGAAAGCTTTTGGAACTAGGCCTATACTATATTAAATGTAATTTACCGAATTAATATGGACGCGAATTATGAAATTAAATGACATTATTAAATTTGAAATTTTTATAGATCGTTTCTCAGCCTAAATATGTTACGGTGTGTCCCAAGAAAGTTATTAGTTAGGCGGAAAATATGTCACGTAGGCCTAGGCTTGGGAAAGCACGAGCCTTGCTGTTTCTTAGTCAGACGACAGCGTTCGAACAAAGAGGATGGTCTGTGCGTCAGACAGGACAAAACGGTCACGTGGTCTAGTCACCTGTGTTGCGACATTGCAGTATAACAAGGTTTTCGTCAGAACCCACTTGACTGCGAGTGATGACTGCGATTGATGACTGCCGTTTTAGACTGCCGTTGATGATTGATGATTACAGATTGTTGCAGTTTGAACGATCAGTGCAGGCTTGTCACTTGTTAGCGGGGTTAGCCAGGGATCTCTGAAGTGAAACCAGCTGTCTGGGTGCACAACTGACGATCGTCTGGGGTCGCCAGATCTCTTCTACCTCGGGGCACAATATCACATATCTTCAAGCTAAAGCTTCTCTCAACTGAACAAGGTCTGATTGGCTCACTCCCGTCCGTTTCAGGGATGTACTGAGTGTAAAATGAGGCCAGCTGAGTGAATGAATGGTCACACACTGAGACCAGGAGACTAGTGGGACTTAGAGGTACATTTTCCAAGGTTGAGAAGGCTTGGTTGTGCCTTAACTGCGGGTGCCTGTTTGTTGTGCCTTAAATAACTACGGGTGCAGGTGGAATCTATGTGTTAAGTTAAGGAGCAGGTTTTTACAGGTATTGGAACTTCTTGAAATAGTGATCATATTTTTTCAGTGGCTGATATTGTCTCGTTGCGCGTAGTTTAATATTTCTTAAGTAATTTTGAACTGTTTTTCAGATGAGGTTCCTCCTTTCTGTTGTAAGTGATACTGAGATTTAGTTCCTTTAATGCATTTAAAATTCCTTTTTAATTTCAATCTCAGGTATAACCTTTGTTCCCCAGAGTAGTGTTTAAGTTAGGTTAGGAGGTGTGTATCTGTTGGGGTAATATAATTTTGTTGAGTACCCTGAAGGCCTATTCCTGGTGGAATTAATAATTTCTTCAATTTTATACCATTTTCTCAGTGATTGACATCATTTTGTTGAAAGCCCTTAAGACCTGTTCATGTGTGCATCCAACATATTCTTAATACTTTGAATTTATTGTTGTCTATTGAGGCATTTTCTGAGTTTCTAATAATTTCAATATCATGTATAACTTTTATTCCCCAGAGTAGTGTTTTAAGTTCAGGTTAAGAGGTGTGCATATGTTGGTGTACCATTATTTGAGTGTGTCTGTAGTGTTGGAGGGAATATAAGTGTCTAAATTTTACAGTGCGTCTCATTTACTCCAATCACAGATGCTATCCTTCCACGGGTCACGGAGAATTCATTTTTGTTAGTAAATGTAAGTGTTCTTGTGCTGGTTCGGTTTTTTCTCCAAGGGGCGTTTCCACTGCAAATACCATCTAATAACAATAATAAACCCCAAGTCAAGTGCGAAAAAAATTCCATCAATTCCGACCGGTTACATATATATATATATATATATATATATATATATATATATATATATATATATATATATATATATATATATATATATATATATATATATATATATATATATATATATAGGGTAAGTTATGGAGGAAAGTCAGCCATATTAAATCGAGTTGTGGACTTCGTAAATGTTTAATGAATCACCACCACAGGGGTTTATGAACTTTTAAGTACTTACGATGTTCGCAACCCGTTAGTGAATCTGGGCCAATATATTAATGACATGGACTAAACAAGCAGTTGGAGAAAAGTATCCTCTGTTTAAATAGTCTTTTATTGGGAAAAATATTACATGTAAATTTATGGATCCTCACCAGAGAGGTTTTATATAGGTATATTCATGAAACTCTACCAACAAATCAGAGACTAAAAATTTTAAACTTAAAATAAGATGATAGTTGTATAAGATGTGGTGAGGTTACATTACATATCTTTTACTTCTGCTTCCATTACATAGAGATAATTGAATGATTTTTAAATTATCCCGAAACAGTCTGCAATGTTAATAACAAATTATTGCTGCATTCGTTTATGTTTAATATTAACTGTAGTAATAATAAGGTAATAAGGATAAGAATACAGTGATCATGCTAATGTCAGATTATATTTACTGTACAGGTACAGTATGTGGATTAGTAGAAAGGATATTATGATATAATAAAATAATGGATGATCAAGTGTATTTTAAAAGAAAAATCATGCACATATTTCACAGACAAATATATTAATATGTAATATCTATGTATATATGTAAATTGTAACATTTTAAATGAAATAACATAAAATATACTGTAACAGGAAAGTAGTAAAGGCCTCTCCAGACACACAAATAGATACTCAATAGAAATAGACATAGATAATATACTTTAATTACCACAGCTTACATTTTTGACGTTTGATACACAGACAATAGGCCTGATCCAGGGCCATCTCGATCGCCAATGAGTAACCTGACTGAAACTAGTGAACGAATTTATCTGAAACGCGTTTATAAATTGTTTGTCTTTATAAAGACAGTGCGCTACCATCCTCGGATTAACTTCTTTATACACATTACATCTTGCAGATTTTGTTTGAAAAACTGATATACAAACATTTTCCCGAGTAGTAATCGCATCCATGTTTCCATTTCTAATTAAGTCTCTTGTATTATCCATTTGGTTTATTGGTGTTGGTCATAAACGATAATGAGTCGTCAGTGCCGAACTGCCGGTCGTAACAACTGTCGGAAGTCTAGAGTCTAGACATTAGATGTGAAGCGTTGGGTCTTGTATATCAACACGGCACAGGTGGTAAATATGTGTCTTCTCAACAACTTCACAGGGGTACACGTATCCTCCTAACCAGCACAAGTACTTGATAATGGACCCGGGAAGAACAGCACAGAGGCTAGGGCTGACAGTGTCCTAGCTGGCATGCTGACCTACAAGGCGAGGAGTGCGGCAGTTCACACCAACGTGACCATGAAAAAAAAGAGGTAGCAGGTGACCAACTGGGTCAGAGGAAGGGAGCCAAGTGACCAGCCATACCGTTACACCCCGCACTATGACTTTACGAACTACCCATGAACAACACCTGCTTCAGATACAGAGAACAAACCCAACACTGAACAACACAGTTCCAACAATCATTGGACTGGAATATAAACCCCTTATAATGTTCTCCGAATTAGCTAAAATCTTGAGAATTTTAGAAAATTACAGTTCAATGTGGCTTGTCTGAGGGAGATAAGGAGCATCGACTAAAAAAAGCAGCACCAATTTTATCATTGCCTTTTATATACTCAATTCTGAAGGAGTAAGCTTGCGAAGCTAAAGACCACCTCATCAGTCTATAATTGTGGTTTTTCATGTTTCTCAAGTATGCTTGAGGTTGTTGATCAGTCTGTAGGACAAATTCTCTTCCATACAAGTAGCTTTTGCACTTATTAATTGCCCAGACAATGCTGAGACACACTCTCTCTCTCTATTACGGCATACCTCTTTTCCCGGTCCAGGAGAGACTTGCTGCCGTATGACACTGGCATAAGAATTCCTTCAACCATCAGTAGTAATACAGCACCTAAACCTGTATCTGAGGTATCTGTATTGAGGTAGAAATCTTTAGTATAATCAGGCAAAGATAAAATTGGTTTATCTGACAGTTTGTCCTTTAAAACATTAAAACTATAAATCTGTTCTGAGCTCCAATCTAGTTAGTCCATTACTACTATATTTCTTTAGCATCCTATTCACTGGTGCTACCATATCTGCAAAATTTGAAATACATATCCTATAGTCACAGTGGTGTCAAACTCAAAACCTTTTGAGGGCCAATTCTCATTTTAGTTACCCTCTTCAGGGCCAACACAAGTGCTATATCACATATTTGCAGGATTGAAGTTTACAGCTTCAAGCATTGCCTTACCTGGCTCGGCGAAGCCTGGCGCGAGGCGGTGGTTAGCGGTTTTGATGCGACCGTCATGTGTACAAAGTTTCCCTACAGATCTTATATATTCTTTTCATTTCAAAGGATTGACTGCACATCAATTCTAAATATAGTTAGTAATAGCTATAGACAATTGGATGATTAAAAAGCGAAGTATAACTCACGATTTCTCCAAAGAAATGGAGAGGGTCCAACAGCGTACACCAGTTCTCCTCATCTGTTTAGACTGGTGTTGCAACGTTTGGCTGCTGACTTTGTTCAGATGCCAGTAATGGCTACGGCTTCGTTTACTAATTCTGTAGTTATTTCGATTTATAAGCATTTTCCCTTTACAATAGTGTTATTACTAGCATTAACAAGATAAATTCATTATTGCCACAATGATGTAAAGATCGTTTCGGAATTTTTTCCTTTATATCTATTTCTATCATAATTTCACGGGCTGATAAATTTTACCGTCCCCGCGGGGCACACCTGACCATTCCAAGGGCCACATTTGGCCGGCGGGCCATGAGTTTGACTCCTCTTACAGAACGATGCTGAACCCAGGAATAATCTAAACTGCTTCTTGCGTCTTTGTACTGTAGAGGAATATGGATTACAGCATTTATTTTATCCTCTCGCAGGGACAGTTAATTGTTCCCAAGGGAAAATTCCAAATAATTAATTTTTGAATAAGCAAAGAAACACTCCTTGGGACCCGCTGTCAAACCATTTTTGCGTAACCTCGCACATAACTCTGAGATCTTACAAGTGTTCATTCCAATTTGAATTGTGAACGAATGCATTGTCAAATAACATTCAGTGTTCCTCAATCTAAAAATCACCTTTCTCATCAGTTTTATGAAGGCAGCACAAGCAGATTTTAATCCAAAGGGCATACGCCGAAATTGCATCAGACCAGGATGGGTAGCAAAAGCTGTACAGACTTTAGAGTTCTCCGACAATTCTACTTGCCATTCACCTTTACACATGTCTATCTCGGTGAAATATCTGCCATTTGCAAAGTTTCCCAAAGACTCATCAATAGTACGCATAGGCTCAGCATCAGTCACATAGTTTAAACATCTAAAATCTATGCAAACTCTTAAGCTGTTATCTGTCTTTTTAAGAAGAACAACTGGTGAACAATAGTGAGTCAGATGGTTCTATCACACCTAATTCTAACATTATGTCTACTTCCTTGTTAAAGGCTTTTAACAAATTATGAGGGACAGGATATGGCTTCTTGTGTATAGGCATGTCAGTAGTTAACTTAATATAATGAATGACAGTTTGTGTTTTGCCTGGAACATCTGAGAAAACATCAGTAAACTCAGTCTTTAGGTTAATTAGCTCATCTACCTTTTCCTCATTTAACTCCGGATTTACATTCAAATAAAAGTCTGAAGATTCACCAATGAGCTCAGTGTCACAAACAGATCCCTGCTTGGTCCGTACATCATCTACAATACACAGCTGACACTTTTTCGTGACGCCTCGCGGTTATGTGACGCCTTGCAGTCATAACCCTGTGTTCGACACATGGAATCTATAATAGCGGCTCTGAGAAACTACGTCGTACAGGGCCTGAGAAACTACGTCGTACAGGGCCTGAGAAACTACGTCGTACAGGGCCTGAGAAACTACGTCGTACAGGGCCTGAGAAACTATGTCGTACAGGGCCTGAGAAAATACGTCGTACAGGGTCTGAGAAACTACGCCTTACGGGGCCTGAGAAACTACGCCGTACAGCGGCGTCTCACATAGTCATGACCGTGTGATGGAGAGATGGGTGTTTTTTTTTATTTATTTTATTTATTTTTTATTTTTTTTTATGGGGATTAGACCCACCCGGGCACAGGTCACTGACCCACATCGGGGCCTGGGGGGCGAAAATGTAATAATAATAATAGTAATAATTATAATAATAATAATAATAATAATAATAATAATAATAATAATAATAATAATAATAATAATAATAATAATAATAATGAATAATAATAATAATAATAATAATAATAATAATAATAATAATAATAATAAATAATAATAATAATAATAATAATAATAATAATAATAATAATAATAATAATAATAATAATAATAATAATAATATAATAATAATAATAATAATAATAATAATAATAATAATAATAATAATAATAATAATAATAATAATAATAATAATAATAATAATAATAATAAATCAAATTTAAAAACAAATAAAATAAAATAAAAATAGAATAATTAAATAAAATAATTATAATAATAATAATAATGAAAGTGGGAAACAATATATGTATGTTGTGTTGTCAATAGTAATAGAAACAATTGAAACCCTGCAATTATGTGTAAATGAGGCAGAAAGTCAGATCAGCAACCTGGGACTTGCTCACAATTTTCGTGGCGTCACATGATTCAATATCGCAAGATCTATCCATATGGAATTAATTATATAGAGCCTGGGATACTGGTGGGGTGATCCGTGACGTTATATCAGCAGGCTTCCTACGGAGTATCTCCCAAGGGCTGTCTTGCTCTCCAAGGAAAATTTTAATTATATTCCTTTTTCATATAGATGAATTTGGATTTGGTGAGAACATCTCAATGGTATTTTTACTATGCATAATTAAACAAAATTATAAGTATTCATCTATTTTCATCGTTCCCATTGCATATCATTTATAAACTGATAAGCAACTTAGTCATATTGCAAGCAGCCACACGGTGTGGATGTCATTACAGCCACGAAAGCAAACCTTGTTAAAATGAGATCTATTACTGAATATGATCAACTGTATGAGGAAGCAGAGGTGTTTGTAACCAAACTCGGCTTAGTTGTTCCAGAGGCAAACACGCAACAGCATAAAGGATCAGCTCGTCGCAAAAGAGTGCAGCGAATATCAAATATTTTGAAAGCGTTCAAAACATCTAGAGAATGTTCAGAGAAGCAGCTTAAAAGACCAATTCAGAGTTATACTTCTCAGTAATTGACAGGTGCACAGCTGAATTTGATCGGAGGCTTAGCAATAACAATGATTTTCTGCAGTCCATCTCCTCTTTTGATATTCAATCTAAACAATTACTTGATGAAGAAAAAGATTACTTTGTTTTCGAAACATTACAGTGAGCACATTGATTCAGTTATGTTATCTTCACAACTGCATTCTGCGATGGTATTCTTAGATCGGAAGAAGCCTGAGGACCTATTTGATGTGTACCAGAAACTAAATGCTTAACCGATTGCGTTTTCTGAAGTATTCAATTTGTTACGAATACTATTGGCCATTCCAGTTATTACTGCGGGCAATGAAATATTTTTTCAGTGCTAAAACGCGTCAAAGATTACCTGAGAACAACAACGGGTGATGACCGCCTCTCCAACCTACTTTTAAAGGCCAATGCAGAGAAAATGGTTAAATCATTCGATACGGAAGAACTGGTTGATAATTTTGCTTGACTGAAGCATCGCCGTTACCCTTTGATGTCAGAACAGTTAATAGCCACTAGCTGTAGACTGAGCATGTCAAAGATGTATTCTATTCTGAATATTTTGATTTTTTTCACTGATGAGTTTTTCACTATTTTGTTTTGTCAATATATTGGCTGATACAATTATTTGGTCGATAATTCAAGAGTTGTACTCTAGATGTTGGTAAAGAAAAGTTTTCTTTGCTGGTATCGTTTGTTTTCTTAAGAAAATTCAAAAACAATATTGGATTTGTTTATCACAACCGTTTTACTATACACTATTTAATGAAAATTTAGTAAATACAGTAATTATGCAGTCACCACGTCAAAGGTTTGCAAGGTTAATGCCAAATACTATGGAGCAGGATTTTGACCCATACTCTTTGGCGTTGCCCCCGCCGTAAGCAAAATCTGAAATGACGCCCCTGCCCTGGTCCTTTTTTATCTTTTACGGGATTAGCCCACCCGGGCACAGGTCACTGACCCACATCAGGGCCTGGGGGACGAAAATATAATAATAATAATACACCTTTTCACATATCCGTAGAGACATTGTTACATAACTATTTGACAAATTTCATAACCGATTGACAGACAGAACACATATCGAATGACAATCTAAAATAAGTTGGTGGTATGTCATTCTCAAACTATATGTAGACTGTCGGTTTATTGTTCATGTCTGTCAATTTCATAACTCATGACAATCATTTCCGTTATTATGAGCGAACAGTTATTTTAGATTGTCATTCGATCTGTGTTCTGTCTGTCATTCGGTTATGAAATCTGTCAAATAGTTATGTAACAATGTCTCAATGGATATATGAAAAGGTGTAATAACTATTATTATTATAATATTAAATAGAAATTAATAACAAAGTACTAAATTTGAAAATAAAATACTAAAAATAATAATAATAACCATAAATAAATACAAAAACGAAAAAAAATCAAGAATGAGAAAGGATATACTCGTGCATTATGTATGTTGTGTTGTCAAAGTAAGAGAAACAATTAAGACCCTGCAATTGTGTGTAAATGAGGCAGAAAGTCAGATCAGCAACCTGGGACTTGGTCACAATTTTCGTGATGCCATATGGCAGCAGGGTCTATCATTAGACAACACATTATGCTTCCAATATCTTCTCAGGCGGTAGTACCTCCCTGTTTGATAGCTGTCTACTACCTACTACCTGACAGCTGCCTACTACCTACTACCTCCATGTTTGGCAGGTAAATACAGAGTTTGTGTTTTAATTGGCTGGGTACACTTTCACAAAAAACTTTTCGAACGTACAAGCACTACGCAATCTGAAAAATGAACGAATCTGAAACCATTCCGAGATGACAAGCCCCACCCATTCTGCTCATTCTAACTTCCATCGTGCCCAGGTGTTCGAGTTTTTGTTGAAGGTGTACATACCACTCTTCATGTATTTGAAAATAAATGCTCCTCTGATATTAGTAATTTATTGGTATTTTATATATTGAATACAAATAATGTGAATACATTTTAAAATATGAAATTTTTAAATATATTATATTATAATCATCATCACCCATTAATTATCCCTTACAGCAGGAAACACATAAACAAGAATGTTAGTTTGGGTTGGTGTCCGCCATTCAACTCACAATAGGCCATGAAGATACAATCCCCCAAGAGCCACCCACAATAGCCTGAATAGATTATTGTTGGGTCGTACCAATGTAAAGTCAGGGTTGCAGTAACACCACTTTATTTGAAGTAGGTTTCAACCCGGG